AAATCAGATTCCTCTTCATCTAAGGAATATGCCAATACTCAATAGCCTTGATAATACCATCAAACATTCTTAATATGATATTACTAATCCCAGCTACAGATAATGAATTGTATCTCTCATATACACAGTACCACTCATCTGCTTGCAAGTAGTAAAGTAATGTCTATGCGGATACATGTGGAATGTAGCATCAGAATCAAGAATCCAGGAGTTCTTTCTATTATTCGAATTCACAGATAGAATTACTATAACACTGTTGTTACCACTATCATCAGAATTATCTCTGTCGACTATATTAGTAGAACTCTCCTATTCTTTTCCTCTTTTCAGCATATGACAATCTCTCCTAAAGTGGCTATTCTCCCCACATTCAAAATGGTTTCTCTTTTTACCTATAGATTTTGATTTGCTCATTCTTTGTGTCCTTCTCCTGCTTACCAAACCTTCCCCTTCTGTTCTATACTCAATACAGTTCTTTTGTAACTCTTTCAGTTTTAGTGCATTACTAATATCATCTAGTGAAATACTAATTTTTCATATAGTAGAGTATCAACAAAAGTCTCATAAGAAGATGGTAATGAACACAGAACAATCAATGCTTGGTCTTTATTTTCAATCTTTGTATCCATGTTATTTAGGTCCATAATTAAAGAATTAAACTCATCAAGGTGCTGTTTAATATACGTACCTTCACTCATTCTAAACAATTTTTTTTCCAGATAAAGGTGGTTCGTCAGTGATTTTACAGAGTACAAATCTTCTAATTTCTTCCACGCAATTGAAGCTGAAATTTTTTTAGCAATCTCTTGCAGAATATTATCATTGACACTCATAAAAATTGCACATAAGACTCTATCCTACATATTTGCTTTTTCTGACTCTCTCATACCCTCAAGATATTTTTCTTCAATTGCCCCCCACAAACCTTATAGTACCAGAGATGATCTCCTTCTAATCTTCCACAGACTGAAACTTGTACCACCATCAAACTTATCTATTTTATCCTTTTTGGATGTCATCTCGAATCCATAAACATTGCACCAAAAAACTAAATAGAGAAAAAAAATACTCACAGGGAATCACCACTACACAGAAAACCACCAAATGCAACCACCAAAACACAGCATGGGCCTTCACGAGCCTCCATACACTGTCGCGCACTGTCATACGCGTGGTCGTTGGAGATGTCACGCGCGGTCGTCGCTCGTCTTTTACTATCGTCGAAAAATACCAAAAAAGCATAGAAACATGCGGTTCAACAAATCCAGCACGAATTTAGTGAAAACGCGTCAAAAAACTATCGAGAACGCCGTAAAATATGCCTCGAGCGAACTGGGTGCCACCGCGCTCATTTGTCTTCTCCGATGCACGTTCTCCTTCTCCAACCCTGGTTTCATCCACAAACGGCTTCTTCTAGCTTCCCTCCGTCCGTCTGTCACGCACAACCACAGCTCCGGTAAGATCCCTAGCCTCTTTTCTTGTTTTTGGCCGAAATCGAAACCTTCTGCGGCTCTTTTTTCCTCCTTGCAAATCTGGCAAGCTTTTGGACACCTCTGTCAACCGCCACCGCCTATAGACCTTCTGGTTCTAACTCGCACGAGAAACCGGTTCTTCTTCTTTGAAAAACTACCACTCCTAATGCAGATTTGAGCTGATCCTCCGCCCGCGGTGGTTGTCGCCTTTGTTTGCCCTGTTTGATCTGATCTGTAAATCTGTATATACTCTCTCTCTAACACAACTCAAACCCAAGTTCTGATACCACTTGTTGGGAAAAATTAATCCCTAAAGCATATATACTCACACCAAAGTAAAAACATAAAGAAAAAGATCACAAGTATTTTACGTGGTTCGACAGTGTGCCTACATCCACGGACAAGACCAGTAAGAAAGAATTTCACTATATAATTTGAGAGTACATTACCAATAGGTTAACAAATCTATTTATAGAGAAACTAGTAGAGTTCTTCACAAATAAAAATTTTATAAGATATACATCAAATATTTTTCAAGATAAATACAAAAAAAAATCAAATAAATTATCTCCAAAATATAGATAAATATCGCTAAAATTCAAGACATATCAACAAAAAAATTATGTACATAAAATCTATACATAAATAAATATTCTCAAGTTCATTTTAAGAGTGTAATCACTCTTATGAATGAAACTAAGTTTCATTAATTAATTGTTATATTCTTTCTCAAAAAATTAAATGTTATGTTTGAGGTACTGCATACCCATGTATATAGATGTGTATATATTGATATAGATAGAGAGAGACATATGTGAATATACATATATCAATGGACATATGCACGATATACTCATTAAAATAGGTTTCATTAAAGCTTCTAATTAGCTATGAGATTATAAGCTTAGCTAACTTTTTAAACTTCTCTATTTCATAAGTTGATAAGTTTAGTATTTAACCAAGATTAATTAACAATATAAATTATTACCCATCTTGGCTAGTTCTTCCAAAAAAAAAAAAATCATGTTATATATATATATATATATATATATATATATTCTATACCTATTTAACAGTTATAAATATCTAAAATATATATTGTCCAAATAATTTCCTCAACCTCAACCTCAACAAATACATTTTGTATTTTTTATTTTATTCTTTTAATGCACAAGAGGCTCATTACATAGTAAATTATATAACAAGCACAAGAGATTTCTCCATGTAATAAGTAGGTAAGTGACTCTTTATGAATCATGATCATGAAGAATAATAAGAATATATATATATATATATATATATATATATTCTCTAGGTTAAATCATCAGAATTTTTACTTCTTTTAATGAAGATGTAAATTAGAATCAAGTTACAGGTTATATGTGTATTTGTTAAAAAATTGTAGTATTATTGATTTTGTTACTATCACTATGTTGTGCTACTTAATTAATTATTACAATATATAGATTTTTATTTAAAAATAATAACTCTAAGATATAGAAACTAAATATTCGAGAGCAATCAAATAGATTTTAGATTTGAGAATTTTCTTCCTATCTTTTTTGTTGTTGCTTTGTATATTAGATACTTGAAGGTGCACGAACAAAACAGACATAGCTTTTATCATTAGTACTATTTATTCTCTTAGGTGGATAGTTAATACTTTTAGTTTTTCTATAAAGATGCGGGGATTCGAGTCAACCTACACATTATGATATTATTGATTGTGATTATTATTAATATGTATATCACTTAAATAGTGAAATGTATGAATCTTTATTTAAAAAAATATTCCTTTAATGACTTTAAAATATGTAAAACATTCAACCAAATTCTAAATTTAAAGATTTTTTTTTTTCATCTTTTTAGCTGACGTGAGCATTTAACTAAATTCTAAATCTAATTTTTTTTTTTTCATCTTCTTAAATTAGCTGTTGGGAGCATTTAAGTGTCCACATTTTAGGATTTTTTAAAATTTTTTTAGCTGTTGTAAATGTTCAACCAGATTCCAAATTTAAGGATATTTTTCCATCTTTTTTCAGTTGTCGTTTTGTATGTTTGAAGATGTACACTAATGCTCGAGTATATACGAACGTTCCGAATCTAACTCTTGTCGTTAGTACTTCTACACGCACGAGCTTAAAATGTTGTTTTTGTCTGTACATGAAAAATTCTCAACGGGTTATTAGTTTTCTAAAGGTATATATTTCTTGTACAATATTATTTCTCTAATTTTTTTATTATAAATCTTTATTCAAATGATAATATCATAATATTTTGTCAAAATTTTTGTTATAATATGACTATGAAGCATCAAGTGCTTCTTCCATTCTTAACTTAATCAATGGGTTACTTGAAGATATGTGTCAATTAGCACAAGATGAATTTAAATAAATAATTGCTAGATTTTTCTCTATATATGAATTTAAAGATTAATTAATAAATATAAGTTATATAATGAACATATATATATAAATCATTGTGTTATACCCACAAGTTAACTACGTAGGCATAACTAATTAATTATTATTTTGAGATTAATTAATATTATATATAAATCAATAAATCCAAACTATAATTATTACAAGCATTAAATAAGACACCCCTCATACCCAAATCAGTTTACACTAATTAATTCACAACACTGAAATTAATAACTCTAAATTTAAAAAAAAAAACCAGTCTACTTAGCAATGGAGAGTGGGTGGTACATGGCTCATATATAAGATCTATGTATGTATACAGGTCTAGAAGTTTCCATGAGTTGAAATACGAAGTTCGGAAATGGGGGGAAAGAAAATTAAATTAACCCAGAAAAAAGCAGCAAGGGTTGCTGGTTTTCCTGATGACTGTGTCTGTCTAGGAGAGGAGGATGACGGAGGGTGGTGTTTCTTGTTTTCCTGTACCCTAAACCGATGCAACCTCTATTTCTTCAACAGAAAAGTTAGAAGAAAACAAATTGAGTTGGCGATTTCCGGATAACCATGAACCAGAAATGGCAGCACGTGGAACTGAAACAAATTAACTTAATTTCCTGGGAATTTCACAATGAAACTGAAACTCTTTTGACTGGAAATTGATTCCATTTTCTATGAAAAGTTGTTGGATCAGAAATGGGTTTTGTTCTTTTTTGATCTTCGTCTTCTTCTTCGTCTTCTTCTTCTTCTTCTTCTTTGTTTTCTGGGTTTTGATTCCATCTTACATAAAACCCTAAAATTCTGATGAAGATGAGTAGTGATATCTATATATATATATAATTGGGGGACACGGAGATTTGAAAATGGGGCTCTTATTCAATTTGTTTAAACTGAGTACATAAGAACTTTGGTTTAACATAGATCAAACCAAATATCTGTAGCAGATCCATCTAGACATTAAGCCCTAAAACCAGCAAACACAAACAAGGAACAAAAAGCAGTACAACTGCTGACATGAAAGTTGCAAACAGACAAAACACAAAACGAAGAACATAAACTAAAAAGACCCCATTGCTTCAGCTGTGTCCATCTCCCTTACCCACTTTCCCAATTACTTCTCAGCAGCTTCGAACATATCAATCCCATGGGTACCAGTGAAGTGATAGGGCAGATCGTAGCTCGCCATGAAATGATTGAACTCTGGGCTTGGCAGTAAAGGCACAGGCCTGTAAACCTGAAAGGCCGGAGGGTTAAAGGACGACCCGCCGGGGAAGAGTTCCACCACCGGGGACGGAGGAGGAGGAGGAGGAGGAGGAGCCGGAGAAACCCCATATCCTGTCCGTGCAATGATGGACGACTCAGATTGGTACAAGAGCCAGCGGATTGTATCGCCGTTGGTTTTGAAGCTGAGCTCTCGAGTGAGCTGGAAAACCCTGGCGGCGCAGTCTGCCGGAATCCGGACTCTCCGATCCCTGCCCTCCACCTTTGCATGGCGATCTTTGGTTTTTGGTTTTGGAAGGCCAGTGGGTTTTTTCGAAATCGGTTGATCAGCTCCATCGAGATTGGTTGCATTCATGTTCGAACTCATTGTAGATAGAGAGAAGCTCTGGGATTTTGAAGGTTAGGGTGAAGAACTTGGCTTCACAGGACCTCTATTTATAATGGCTGGGCTTGCATGGTTCTGTGCTTGAGGGGGAGAGAGAGAGAGAGAGAGAGAGATAGCTTTTTAATTTTATTTTTTTTCTATTTAAGACAAATTAATTGAAAATTTTGGTTTTCAATATTTTTTATTTTTAAAATGGTATTGCTATCCTACTCCGTATAGTTTTAAATTTCTGATAGTTAGATTAAATAAATTAATATTCACCGTTTATTTTATTCAAAATTAACGATTATGATTTTACTTATAAAATCTGACGATGTTAGTTTTGAAGAGTACAGTATATTGAACTACACTATAGAATTTTCTATAAGACAACTTTAGATGTAACATCCATTATAAAAAAAGTATATATCTATCTATAAATTATGACTGTTGGATTAAAATTATAACTTTATAATCCAACGGATGATATTTTTCTTTAAATTTAAGAAAAATATCTATTTAAAAGGAAACTAAATATTTAAGCTTTATTGGTGTATTTATTTAGTTTAATAGGATGCCAAGATAAGGTTAGCATATTCTGGGTGTTTTAGTAATTTATGTCAAAAATGGTAAAATATCCTAGGTGGGTTATGTATAAGGATATATAAATCCTGGATATTTTACCATACTTGTCATATATATATATATATATATATATATATATATATATGGCATATATTAAATACATACATGGAATAATTTTCCTTCCTAAATAAGCATATCATTGTTTTCCAATTAACACACACATTAATATACAAGTGCATATTACATTAATGTGTACACATTATATTTTGAGATATACATCAGGTCATTTATGTGTGTATATATACCTATTATATACACATAATAAATTGAGATATACATCAGGTAGGTCCTTCATGAGTGTGTATATCCATGTGGGAAAGGATAGATATATATTTCCAAAATACTCATATAATGTTGAATTGATCAAATAAGGAAGAGGAGTTAAAGTTACATATTTTCATGTTTATTACCCACAAGAATGTAATTTATGGTTCATGGAAAACAGAAATTAAATTTGCATGCCTTTGTAATTGGTATGTGATATATGTCAATGGAAGTATTATATATAAATAAATACATATATATGTATATACGTTTGAGCAACTGATTATAACTACTAGTGATTAATTCTCTTCAAATTAATTAAATTTCTAGTTCAAATCCACCCCATTAAAGTATAAAAAATGTTAATCGTATCTATAGAAAGTATATTAATTTACATATATATATATATCTATATATATTATAATGGTGTAAATCCTGTTGAATACCAAAATGGGAACTAGACTGATCTATCTATTCATCATTAAGTGGCAAAATAGGCTTTAAAATTGGGCTTTAAAAAACAGCCCAAAATTTTTCAGAGTTTTACTCAAGGCCTGCTAGTAGACAATTCAATTCTTCTTCATTATCTACTGTGTTTCATATTAAAAAAGAAAGCAGCCATTGAAGAAGCTTCAGAAAAGTTCATTGAATCAGTACAAAGCTCAATGGGAAAAACAAGAAAGGATGAAATGAGTTATATTAATAAGCTCACATAGCAGGGTGTATAAGCTTCCAATTAATTGTCTCTAAGCTTAAGCTATTCGAAAAGCTGCTTCAAGTCTGCTTAATTCCATATAAGCTGCTCTAGTTCTAAGCCTAAGTTTTTTTTTTTGTTTTGATACCAAATCTGCTCTGTTTTAAACATGATTCAATTCTCTCTAGCAAAATGGTTCAGTAAAACTATTCCCATCAGCTTTAAATTAGTGGGCTTATATATTTTACTGTGACAACTTGGTACGACTCAGCAAAGGTGTAGCTAGCATGTCTACATGCCTTGACAGTCAATATATAAGTAAATACATGTCACCAACCGAAAGTTTCTATTTGTATGGATCTAATTACTTAGTATGATCAGATGAAATGAACAAAAAATTAAAGGATGACAACATAGTGAATTCGAGATAGATTTTATCAAACCCGAACTTAGGACTCGTCCCTATAAAAAATAAACTTGAATCCTCCCTAAATCTAAGACAGACTGAATTTTTTTTTTTTTTTTTCTGAATCATATCAAGTTTATGGGATATCCGACCCAAACGCGATCCGTCATTTATTATATTAATGTATATAATATTTATATCGTAAAAGATTAAAAATTTATTTATTAGTATATATTAATTATATTTATATAAGTATATTTATAGTGATAAAAAAACTAAAAATATATCTATACATAATGGATTAAGTTTTGACAAATTTTAGAAGATCAAAATCGAGTCCATATGAACTGTCATTCTTTTTTCGACAATTTGAACCTAATCTGACATGAACCCACAATTTAACAAAAAAATTATACTGAATTGGATTCCTATAAGTCAGATTAAATCGGTCTAATGCAAAATAACATTCCTTCGAATAATACTTCTATGGGTATAATTCTAATTGAGCTATACGAAAGAAAAAATATCTTATAGTAATTGTTTGAACTATTAATACAATTAGTTTTTCTTATAATAATATTACTCATGTGTGATTTTAGTTACACAAAAATAATTATTTTATCTACCACACAGATGAAAATGAGACGCATAGTTTTTCTATTTTATTTTATGTAGCTAAATACCTGGGACGTTTATCTCAACCACTGGCCGGAACCTTCTCACCATCGTTCCAAGATCTGAGCTGCTTGTGGGTTAGTGTAGTAGGAACTTTAAGCTTGAGGACTTACAGCTTCTTCGTCTGCCATCTACATTTTACTGGAGTGAATTTGATTAATCTTTCTGCTACTATGATCTTTTAAAAGTACTTGGTAGATGAAAAGATACTGCTATAGATGAAATGAATTTTGCCATTGAGTAATGAGGGATGCTCCTTTAGGCTTTTCTATGGAGTTGAATAGCACCCTTCTTGGGCATATTGTTGTATTCACCTTTAGTGCTGATTTTATTCCTTTCCAGCATTATGCAGCTGTTTCTTAACTAGCTGCGTTTGCTATCGTTCGTAGTACGATCTGTATTTTCCTTTATAAATGTTTTTGTAATGAAGACTTGCTATCTACTTAACAAAATCTTTTATCTTTCAAAAGGAAAATTAAATTGTGTTTTTCTTATGATTCCTTTCAAATATTTGTTTGTTTTGATCATAATTGTTCTGACTTTATTCGTAATAAATTACTAATTACTTATAAAAGAATAATCATTGAAGTGAAATTGTATCATCTCGTATTATTATCTTATCTTTTAAATTTAAAAAAAATGACATTATTTAATATATTTTTTTATAATACCTTTATTTGGTTAAAATAATATCATTTTGTTAATTGTATATAAATATATTACTCTAGTGCCAATAAGAGAGAAAACGCATTGACATAACACGCTTTCGTGATTTTCTTTTTCTTTTCTTTGTCTCTCCCTCTTCCTTCTTGACTTATAATTAGGGTTTTTCTCTCAGTCTCAGCTTTTTGGGATTTCAATTAGGTATGTATTCCTCTTGAATTGAGATTGATTTATATTCTATTTTTCTATATTTTAATATTAATTTGTTCATTCTTTGTTATAGATTATAATTTATATGTGGTTTTATGCGCCGATTACTTAATACTTTATCTATTATTTGCTTTCGATGATCGTTTTTAGGATCAGTGTTTTATGTAGATTATATTTTGTGCAAATCTCAAGATTATTATATGATATATCTACCTACTTGTAGATCTATGGTGATTTTCCCTAATTTTCAAATTGGTGATATTCTTTCATTGGTAATTTATTATTATTCCATTGATTTGTGATCTTCTCTAATTTTTAATCTGATGATATTTTTTTTCTAGTATTTATTATTATTCGACTGATTTTTATTCTTTAAATGGATTTTTTAAAAATAAGATTTTCGTAAATAATTAAAATCTATATAAAAACTATAACAATTGGGATTTGAGAAAAACTAACTATACTATTTGTAGAAAATCTCTTTATTGCCATGGTTAATAATTTTTGTGATATATATAAGAAAACATCATATAATTTTTGTGATATATATGGTTAAAAATTGGGATTTGATTGTTTCTCCATTCTTAATCTTTAAAATCTTCATTAAGGAATTTATTTTCTTAATTTTTCTCTTCTACAGTGGTCAAATATAAATATGATCTTTTTGATTGGTTTGTCTTCTTAATGTTGGATTTTAGATATCTTTTTCTTTGCAATTGTTTCAATGTGATATCCATCATTTTATATATATATATATATATATATTGAGTATCTATTTGATACCGATGAACCAAGAGTTGAATTCTAAATTTCTCAGCAATTAGTTAGGTGTGTACCATGTTTTGAACTAATAGCTTAATTTACTAATCGAGGTTTTATAATTTTGATTTCTTGTTTTTTTTTCTTGTATAGTCTTGTATCTTCTTTTTTGAAAGGTAAAAGATAAGCTTTATTAGAAAATATAAAAGAAACACAAACCATACCCTAGCTACTAGGAAGCAAACCAGAAAGACACTAAGTATACAACCTAGGCAATGAACATAGAGAACCAAAACTAGTAAGAGGCCAAAGCGGGTTCAAACAAACAGGTAATATCAACACTAGATACAGAAAAAACAAAGGAACAAGCCATAGAGAATGTTGATTGAAGAAGGTTATTTGTATTTAATTACAAAGTTTTTTTTTTTCTCTCGTTATGTCTACGTTCATATAATTAGAATCCTTCTCTAAATTTTGGTTCCTAAACTATTGTTTGTGTTGGAAAAATGTATTATAACTCTTTTTGTTATTACAATTGATACACATATTGAGAACTAGTATATTGGTCTTGACATACATTGTAAATAATAGATGATAATTTATTATTCTTTGGATAATATTATTAGAGATTTTTGATCGGTTTTCTTTTTGCACGATGGCTGATAGAAGTGAACA